CTTCGCGACAATAGTCGTTACATCAGTTTGTAACTATTACAGACAAATCATTGTTGCTTTATGACTGATAGTTTTTCAAAAATAGAGGGTTTTCAAAACATTTGCCACCTTGTTCAATCTTTTCCTACAATCTTTAGAGGTTAAAGTGTCCTCTAAAAGTCAAGAGGAAGGTTAGGCTTTAAGAAAAATTTCTTTAGCAAATAAGAGTACTTAGCATTTAAAACAATAAAAACATTAAATACGTTGTTGACATTAAATTATAACTTTAACTAATACTTTTTTGACATTAAAATATTTAATATGTTTTTAAGATTTTTTTTTTTAATATATATATATATATATATATATATATATATATATATATATATATATATATATATATATATATATATATATATATATATATATGTATATATATACATATATATATATATATATATATATATATATATATATATATATATATATATATATATATATATATATATATATATATATATATATATATATATATATATATATATAATATATATATATATATATATCCGAAATATATATATAATTAATATTTAATTTGAATACATAGCTCATATAATGAAAAATGAATAAATTACAAAAGAAGGTTTTCGTTAGATAAAGAGTGTGTATAAAAACAAACGGGGGCTCAATGTAGTTTCAGCTGACTGGTGTTACTACGATCTTTTCATAGAGATTCTTTAACAATAAAATTAAAAACCACATGGTTTTAACATGTTTAAAATAAAATATATGTTAAAAATATATAATACTTTTTTACCTTTAATAAAAACAACTAATACCTTTTTAACATTAAAATTCGATCGAATCAAAGAAATGTTTACATGGATTAAAAGTTATTGCCATATCTTTGTTTTGGTGGTCATTAGAACAAAAATATTAATATCTTTGTTTTGATGGCCATCAAAACAAAAATATTATGACAATTTAATGCAAGCGTCAGCATAACAACAAATGCCTTGATTACCTCGAAGGCAGACTTTTGTTAAAAAACTGCACAAAGAGCCTTCTATTATAAACAATCATGAAAACAAAGGAAACAAAAAAAGACCTGGTTATAAATATCAAAAACATATTTTTTTTTGTTGTTATTTAGATGCCCCAAGAAGACCTAATGGTTTTGTCACAGAGCACTGCGGAAGTGCGTTTAATCAGGAAGTTCACGCCTCCTTCCTTACGGTGACGCGAAAATATGTCCAGAGCTCGTTTCGAACCTGGATCTCCTGCTTATAAAGCAGACGCTCTAACCTGCGCCACGGTCGCGAAAAACATATCACAATTGATCGTTAATATAATAGGCTGCTTAAATTAAACAAACTTTAATCTTTTTTCTAGAAAAAAGATGAGCAATAATAAAAGTGCTTGCTTCAAAAGGTTAAAACACGTGATATATCAAAAACACGTGATATATCAATAACAAATGTCTTCCTGATAGAAGCATCTAAAGGATCATTTAAATTAGATTCTTATAATGACTAGATGTTTCGACAGTGGGTTACATACGGGAGGCGTTAAGAGGATTTGGTTGTCCTAAAAGATAGGGTTTAAAAAAATGGTTTTGAAAAACCGTCAAACGGTTTTTATAAGAAATTTGACCAGTTTCTATAAGAAATTTGACACATTCAAAAACCGGTTTTTAATTAATGGCTATAATACAATAAAATTATTAAATAAACTTCAAACATATTTATTTAATAATTATATTTTTTTAAAAAAACATAAATAAAACAGAAGTTTAGAATAGTTTCAAAAAGTTAGAAATAGACAAGGCAATCTTCGAACAATTTAATAAGCTATTAGCATTACGAATATTTCATTCACACGAGAGTCTCTTCAATAACGAGTGTATTCATTACATGAAACAACTTTAGAGTAATTCGTTTTATAACAAATCTAAACTTAAAACTATTGCAGAATTAGATTGAATAACGATGAACCTTTATCTTATTACCTTTAGACTAGTGGGCAAGTAAAATATAATATAATTAAATTCAAGAATTAATCTTGACTGCAACAAAAGGTTAAATAGTATTAAAGTTAATAATTGGTAGATTTCTAGCAGTAAAAAAAATGTGGTTTTAGCATTAAATAATATTTATTTATCTTTTATGTAGAATGCAGTTTAATGTTCTAAACCTTTAGGAATTTATAAAGCCTTGGGCCTAATTCGTCTGTTTCGGTTAAAGGAACAAAAAAAAAGTTGAACTCTGAAATAACTTCGAAATTATTAAAGACTTCAGAAAAACAAATTCGAGAAAGGAAAAAAGAAAATTTTACAACTATCTAACTGTATTTACAAATCCTTAAAACATTTCCGGTTCAACAAATAACTCAAGTCTTTAAGTCTAAAAACCAAAACTTAATATAAATAATAAAATAAATATATAATATAAGTAATAAAATCAAAACTTAATATAAGTAACAAAACCAAAACAAAAAGTTTTGGTTTTTGGAGCTAAAGACTTGATTTATTTGTTGAACCGGAAATGTTTCAAGAATTTTCTTTCTTTTAGTTATTAAGATGCGAGAAGACCAAACTGTCACATCGCACAGCGGAGAAGCAGGAAGTTAACGCTTCATTTCTTACCAATGTCAGTTTTTGGGCTTGAACAAGTTTTGAGCCTCAAACCTTTTTGTTTTAAGCCAAAACTTTAACCACGGCGTCACAGTTGCTTGTGTATAATTTTGAAAAGCAACAGAACTTGGTTTTATAATTTTATGGTGAATTAAATAACAAATAAATGTTTTTTGTTTCCTTATTCGTTACCGCAAATAATGAAAGTTCTAATTTTGAAGACTAATATAACGAATGAAGCCGATTTTATAATTTAAGGCAACGAACTAAAAACATAGAATTGTTATTTGATGCACTTAAAACTCCTTTATTAATTAACAAGTATTTTCAATCGCAAGCATTATTGTGTCCAAAATAAGAATAAGACTAAGCCACCGTTCAGTAGACATTTTATATTTTTTGAAGCCCTATTTCCTTAGAAAACTCTAAATTAAGTGAAATAAATATAAATATTGTTCGTAATTTAAAATTTTTGCTTTTGAAGGTTTTCGTTGTTTTATGTAAATTATGAGTAATTTCATTTTGTCATTCATTTTGTCATATGTAAATTATGTAAACATTGATTTTTTAAAATATACCTTGCTTTAAGTTTTTTTTTTTTTTTTGTATATTTTATATAAATTTTAAAAAAATACGTCTTCCTGTTTAATTTTTGTTCAGAAAGTTTGAAAAAAAAATAAATAAAACCGGTTATTTTGAAAATTTGGAATTCTAAAATCGGTTTTTGTATCAAACCTAGTGAAAAAAATGGTCTTGTTTGCACAAACTCACAAGCTCAGTTGTTACGTTTAAGTCCAATATTAAACTCCGTAGGAAAAATTTTGTACCAAAATAAAAGTAATGTTAAAAAATCGGTTTGCATTACACCTGTACTAGCTGCTGGGATTGTGGAATAACAAATGCAATATTTAGAAAAAATTGTTACTGCAGCAAAAAATACAAAAATGGGAGATGATTGTGTACGTTCTGTACTACATACGACTAAAGATTTAAAATATCGAATGAATTAAATTTTGCAACGATTTAATTACCAGAAGTGAGAGTTTAACTGAATATTGCAGGTATTTTTAATACTATTGTTTAAATTTAATTTAGTTTTCATGTTTATTGTTATTCATATTTTGTTTATTATTCATCTAAATAACTATTAACACCCGATGGGATGTTTCCCGTAAAATTGTAAAATATTTTTTCATGAACTTTTTTACCAATGCTTTCACTAACTCCGTCTGTCTGTTAACATCAAATCTTGCGATCAATTTTTCAATTGAGTCACTTCCTGATAAAAGATTTTCTTCAAATTTTGCATACAAACTCTTGCTTGATGAAAATTCAATATTCAATAATTAGTTTTGCGATAAGTCAATTAATTTAGTTATTTTAATTAAGTTTATTTTTTGTCAAAACCCACCTCTTCTTGATTTTATTTTTGTTTTTTTTACACACGCATACAGCCGAATGTAAATAAAATAAGGGTGAGTCTATTCGCACGCACGTGTAAGTAGACTATATCTTATTATAGTCTATTCGGACGTTTAAAAAAAAAATTTAGATTAGATTTTTAATATGAAATTTCTCACAAACAAAAGATGTTTAAAACTTAAGTTATATATTTTGACAGCAATTTAATTTTTTAATCAATTATAATAAAAATGAATAAAACTACTTAAACGTAGTATTAAATTTTTATTCAAAAAACAAATAGATAAAATAAACATTAAGAAATACTTCTTTTTTTAATTAAAAAATTGCCTGTCCAAGCCAAAACCCTCGTCATTGTATTTATACTACACTGTGCCTATCCCTAGATAAGCAGTCAATATGTATGATGCGAAATAGTGCGAATAGACTAAAATTAAATATAGTCTATTCGCACGTTTTTAACGTGCAAATAGACACCGATAAAATAATATAGTAATATTAGAAAAAAATGATTGAAACATTTGTGTTTAAATAACATATAAAAGCATTACGTTTTAATTTTACTTGTTACTTTATTGATAAAAATAACTTTATTCTGAGTATCAATATTATAAACCTTTTTTAATTAAAACTATCAAGTTCTTAATTACATCTAATGTTTTTTACTTACAGCTATATTTTCTATAATTACCATGTTCTCAATTACTTCATGTTTATTCATTACAACTTTTATTCTCTCAATTTTATCTTGAAAAGGTGTAGTAAAAAATAACAAAAAGTAATGTTTGAAAAATAAAAATGAAGCAAACATCTTTCAATCTTTTTAATTCTTTAATAACTAAGCACATCAACAATATACATACAAATGTATTGCATAATACATTAAAATACATCAAAAAGTGATATCAGTGAAGTTCATGGAAAATAGTAGTAAATTGGTGTCCCTGGCCATTCCATAAGATCTTTTTTATTTACATATTCCCGTCCGTTCACTTGTTACGTTGGTAAGTTTTTGAGCATACACAAAATCAGAAGATGATTGTTCATTCATTTCTAATTTTCTAAACAAATCAATTCCGTATCTTAATAATTTAAAAATCTTGCCATCTTTACTTTTATACTCTGACTCTGTATTCTTTTTGGTACTAATCCACAATGAAGACGGGTATATAAACCCCCACCACTGGTAGTAAAATTGAATTTCTTTATTCACTGATTTAAATATGCTATCTTGCTTAAATGGAGGGCTCCCTTGCTTTAGTGCGTGAACTAATCTGCATAAATTAGATGATATGTCGCATACATGGTATTCGGTGTTAGTGAGTAAGTACAAATCTACTAAAGTACTTTCTATTATTTCTTTTGAAAAATTTTTTTGAAAATAAGACCCTAAACCATTTAACAAATAATTTTGAGGTAAACATGTTGTTTGAAATTCTGGAGCAAATTTTTTAACCACGTCGATTGCTGGGATATCATCTGTTGCAATATAAATGCGTTTGTAAGTGATGTTGTTTTCATAAAAATATTCTCTTGCAACTTTTACAAATTCACTTTCATTGATATAATATGCCTCACGACTAGTTAACTTATCCCCGTGACGAATATGAAAACCAACAATTGGTGCAGTAAAGTTGATTTTTTTTTTTAAAGTAGATAAAGTTTTGTTAAAAGTCAAGTTTGGTCTTAACAAAAGGTGTGCAAGAAACTGCGATGTAAACCAATGCCATGGACTTTTAACACCAAGAGATAACAAATATTTTTTTAGTTTTTCAGGTAGCGTTCCAGGTATGTGCCTTGGATAAGGTACGCTTTTTGCTAATGTGTTAAATTCAATAACTTTATGATTGTTGTTTAAATCATAACCATTGTTATGGTAACATGAGGGATCTTGAGCGTTACAAGAATTTGATTTATTTAAAAGGATTTTTTGTTTCAAATAACCGCATTTCAATGATTCTGGTTGAACCCATTGGAAGATCCCATCAAAGTGGCTATACTGTTCTTGGTGGATGAAAAAAATTCTTCCTAAACCATATGCTACTTGCATGCAAACTCCGTATCTGTGTACATTGGAGCCAAAACCGGCATAATTTTCAACATTCCTGCATAACAATATTTTTTTTTCTTCACAATCGCCTTCTTCTTGCAGAGCATGAATTTGTTGCCAGATAAGCTCGTGTATTTCTTTTAAAGTGTTAAATTTGTGATGAGGAACAGAGTTATTGATTTGTGAATTTGCTGATATATGGACAAAGTTTTTTTTTTTTAATGGCATTGCATATCTTTGATTTGTTACAAAGCTCAT